CACCCAGATTATACCGGTCATACAAAAGCAACTCTTGACGAGGAATTTTCGGAAGCAGAGATTCGTGCCGTACCACACCGCCTTAATACCAAATCCGCTCCTGGTTTTGACTCCATTATGAACAAGACACTACGTAACCTAGAAGATGAATCTATTAGTCACCCTAAGGACTATATTAACGCATGCTAGACGTTTACGCCTAGCATGCGTTAACGCATGCTACAGGATGTTTACCCCTACAATGGAAGGTTGCCAAGATTATTCTTATCCCCAAACCGGAGAAGCCACTGAACATTCACAACCTTAGAGCCACCTCTCTAACTTCCTTCGTAGGAAAACTCATGAAGCACGCCTTCTTAGCTCGATTAAAGACAATTAGGTTCTTCCGTGCCCTGTTAGGTTTCCAAAGGCACCTTTTTTGCCAGGACACTATGCTTCAATTGAAGCACCAAATCATAGACACCATGACTCCCTCAACCAAAGCTATACTTGGTTTAGATCTTAAGAAAGCATTCAATAACGTTACACACAGTACACTTCTCCAACAGGTTAACGCTTTATGTCTCGGAACTCGAACGTATATTTATAATCACGACTTCCTTACAAACCGACAAGCTGTAGTCAAAGTGGGATACCCATAGGAAGCGCAGGAACTCCACAGGGCTCCGCAATATCTCCTTTGTTGTTCAACTTAGCTCTCCTCGGTTTGCCCTCAAAGCTGTCCATGATTCCCAGGCTTCATCACAGCATATATGCAGACAATATTACCCTCTGGATATGTGATGGCAGTGATGGCTCTATAGAGAACGGCTACAAGAAGCGGTAAACGTAGTGGAACAATACCTACACGGAACAGGGCTTTTGTGTTAGCCGGAGAAGTCCGAACTCCTCTTATACCACCCAAAATTCAGAGGCAGACCACCCAAACAGTATAGTCGAACAAGCTCATACACAGACATTACCCTGAAGACAGCCGATGGACGCGTCATGCCGACTGTCGATAAAATACGGGTTTTAGGACAATTGGTTGAAAGAAAAGGCGCAAATGGTGAGACAAGCCGCAAATTAGAAGCCAAAGTTGCGCAAACGATGTGACTCACTGAAATAATAAGTAATAAACATCAGGGCATGAAGGATTGTAGTATTCTCCGGCTTATGCACTCCTTCGTGCTCAGTCACATTACTTATGTCACTGCCTACCATCGATGGTTCGCGGGGGAAGACCTAAACTCAGCGGGCCCATCAGACGAGTTTACGAACAGGCTCTAGGGCTTCAGCACAGTACCAGTACGGAACTCCTTCTTAAACTAGGCCTTCATAACACACTCGAAGAAATAATTAAAGCGCAACAGATCTCGCAGTACGAGCGCTTGAGCAATACGAAATCAGGTCGCCAGATTCTCGACAGTCTCGTCATTTTTTACCACGCACAGCATGGTATAAAATGCGACATACCACGCAAACTCCGCACTAAACTCACGACATGCACCCTGAACACAACAAAGGTAGAAGAATCAGTAGAGCCAAAGTTATGCTCCGAACTTAAGAAAGCAATAAGGAGGCGGTTTTCGTCAACGCAGCGCGCTATCGAAACTATCATCGTTTTGTTTCTGCGGTTGTAGACCATACGCACAAATGCATAACCAGCTCTTCAATCAATACGAATCACGTGGATACAGCAGAGTAAGTCGCTGTCGCGCTCGCCATAGCTCACGCCGATGCCCAGTATATTATCAGTGATTCACAAACAGCAGTCCGAAACTTCGCAAGTGGTAGGATTTATCTAGTGGCACTGAGAGTCCTTGCTAAAGGCAAAACCCGCTCTGACGACCAAATTGCATGCATTCTCTGGTTTCCCACCCACACACCCGTCGACCACACGGAGGTCAATCTTAACGAGGTGGCGCACGACGTGGCTCGAGGCCTCACGTTCCGGGCAACGTCAGTGGTTGACACCACCCGTACGGACTCTCTCGTGGAGGAGTGGGAGTGGGTGGATAAACTTACCAAATTCAACGACATTATCCAACAATATAGACTTCAAGGACGGGAATACTCCCCGCCTCACCCCGAGCTCAACCAGGCCCAGTCCGTTCAATGGCGGTAATTACAAACAGGCACCTACACTAATGCCGTAATTACGAAAAACATTTACCCCGACTTGTATATGACCGATCCGTGCAAGTATTGTAGTAATAGGGCCCCGCTAGCGCATATTCTCTGGGAGTGTCCGGCACTAACTGGCAGTATGAGAGGCGCGGCTTCCAATGAGGACCTTCGGGAGCGTTGGCGGACCGGGCTGCTCAACTCAAAACCTAATAATCAACTCTGGGCGATCGAACAGGCCAAGGAAGCTGCTGAGAGACATAGTCTCTCAACCAACTCCTAGGCGGGAATACAGCCCGGAAACCTGCAGGAAGTGAATAAAGTTTTTACACTCCACTACGGGGTCTCTCATAATCATATGGTTGTTTTGGAAAGTTATACGGTCATTTCAGCGACGCAGGCGGCGTCATGTAGCGGTGCTCCGAAGCTGTCACACGGTGATAAAACTGCAGCGAAGTTCGGTCTCTCAGAAGTCATAAACCATTGAACGCGTCTTCACGCTCTGCGACGCTGACGTAAACGCTCTCGACATCACCGTCTCGTCCGCTGTTTTGACCCTCCGCTGCGCCACCTATAGTCGCTGGAATGATCGAATAGCCAATATATCAATCAGTCAATTTTCTCTCCCTTATGAAGTTTGAGAGTTGGTGACCCTGTCCCGAATCAGCCTTGCCTAGATTTATTTCTCGCGCAACGCAGCCTTTTGGTTCCGAGCGCCGGTTTCTCTTTATATTTTCGACTTCCTCACGTATCACTCCAACTGAGCCCTGACAACGTACTGCTTTTCTCTCAGCCGTCCTTCGGGTCTCTCCTTCGCTAAACTGCGTTCGTCGGCTGGTTTGACGACCTTCCTCAGCGTCCGACGTGGAAACGCAGCTTGCGCGTGCATGTGCTAGCAGAAAACAGGATATTTTTCGCCCAATGACAGCGTCTCTAGTATACGCAGCGTCGTTTGTATTTCTGCAGGCAGCGTCAGTTGACGCCATGCTAACTGTTCTCGTTAGTGGAAAGGCACGGACAGCAGCACGCGAGCGTCTGTTGGTGGTTTGCGGGCCCTTTAAAAAAATACCCTAGCGAGCCCCATTCACCGCGTAAAACTTTCTCACACTCCACTAGAATGTTGCCGGGTGGCAATATCATGAGAATACTGACCTTGAAGGCCGCTGGCAGAGCGGTCGAGCCGATGACGAGCTCCCGGCTGAGCATCTGCGACACTGCCAAGCTGCTGGCGCCCACCTGCGCGCCGTCAGAGACTGTTCGAAGCGTGTTCTCGATAAAATGCGTTCATTGATTGTCCGAACAAGCTTCTTCACGCTGCCTTTAAGTTTTTTCCTCAAAGGCGGCAGTGAGCGCACACTCTCACGTTCGGCTTAAAGCCCGAACCACACGAACGCTCTATACGTACGCTGCCTGAGCGCGCGTGGTACGCGCGCTGGGGGCTGCGCATGCGAAGTTGTGCGCCTAAACGCTCTGCGTACGCGAGTGTCTGAGGAGATCTGATTTCGGCCATGAGACGGCGCGCGCCTAGCCTTCGGCCATGAGACGGCGCGCGCCTAGCCCGCGCTGGCCGCGCTTAGAGCCCCGCATATTGTACACGACAAGTACACTCACAGCCACATTGCATATGCATTCATTTACGAGCTCTAATCATACATGTTTCGCCGTAATATATCACTGCATGAGACCACTTTGCTCTATTTCGCACGTCGTGTCGTGCACATCGTAGCGATGCACATCATGCACTCGTGTGTTCTCGTGATTGTCTGGCCAAGCTTTTTAGTGCTGAATAGTTTCAACTAGCAGCCCTCATTAGACTCGATCGCGTCGCGGTGGAATTGGCGTAGCTGCCGGCGATGCACTACGCGTTGTGCAGTGCACTCGTGTAAGCACTCATGTTTTCTTGGCCGTGCTAAATGGTGCGGTATGGTTCTGTCCGGCACCACCTGCACTTATGGAGAGTGTTCAAGTTCATATAACTCACTTCGAAGCACACAAACACCTCAGTACGTGGCGCCACCCACTATTCCCGCCTGCTTATAGGGTAAGCGCGCGCGCGTGTGGGTGGACATTCCTTGCGAGTCGCGCCCGGAGTATGATGCGCGCTGACGCGCTTGCGCTCGCACAGCGTACGTGTGGTTCGGATTTTATCGTCGATCCCCACTTAGCATTTACCGGAAAATGGCGCCCTCACTTCGGTAGTCTGGGTGGCATTTTTCGAGTTTTCTTAACTATAGATTTACTATACGCATTCCAGTGAAATGCACTTCACAGACATGTGTATTGACAGTGGCAAATTAAGGAAGACCCTCTACAGGTAACCAAAAGACAGCCAACAATATCAAGGTTCCGCTAGCAATTACCTTCGACACTGCAAACGGGGACATTCGTGTGACGGGCGAGGCGTAAGCGTTTACGATGACTGCGTTCCCCCTTTAACAAAGAAATAAACTGTGCGTGCACGACGCCTTTAGCAATTAAGCTTTAGCAATGAAATATCAAAAATAGGTAGAAAAACAGCTCTATACGAGCACAGTTGAACCAGCTGCTAGTATTTCTAAGCAAATACTCAGATGCATCCCTTAACAAAAACAATGTACCACGCAACAATTGCCCAATATGAGCAATCAACGAGCTCCTTATGAAGAAAGGGCTTCCCCAAGTGCCGTGTATCGCGGTAATAGGAAATTAGGACGCAGTCACGACGAGGGCAAGAATGAAGAACCCCGCTGAAGTTACTTCATTTTTATTAGACACAGTTTTTTCTCGCATATATGTATAAGCGAATCAACCACATTATTGCGTATGCCACAAGATTAACGCTCTTGTTTCTAAAACCTTGTGGTGCCTCGAAATGGGAAACACGTTCTCGGAGCAAACGGACACAGTAGGCAAGGTTGGACCAAACCAAGGCACATTTATTAAACTACTTTTACAACGTCCATATTGTCAGCCAAATGAATACATCACTAGTGATCCACACACTAAACAACCTTACACAATATTTTCATACGCTAAATAAACATAAGGACAAACACTAAATAAACATGAGGACAAACAAAGTACCGCGAAGGCGGCGTCGCGAACGCTCGACTCGCCACAACGGGAAACGGTCCGCAGTGCCGTTCCGATGAACCCACTGCGAGAGGCACCCGTTTGCGCGCCTATACCGCCACACGCCAAAAGAGCCTCTCTAATCTTTTCTGTCCGCCCACCTAACCTGGTCGCAGGGCGTCGCTGCTGGTGCACTAATCATAATGATGATGACGGAGATGAAAATCACGTGCAAGCATTGCGCCACCTCCCGCTCAGCGCTGTCATCTCTAAATGCGGCTTATCAGTGGGACAGGAGTGCGCCACCAGGCGCAAACGACCTTACAAAGGCTGATAGCACGCCCACAACCTCTCAACTTTGTTTCAAGCCATATACCGAAAAAAAATTATTAGAGAATTCAGCCACACAAGCTATAATGAAAGATGACAACGCATGTCCGAAAAAATCATGAACCAACTCCCCGAAGAAAACAATGATGGGATGCGAAGCAGCAGCGGTGCGCACGCCGTTGACCAGGCTGAAACGGGCATCGACGCGGGTGCTGGAAGAACGGTCTGAAGCGAAATACGGCGTAGCCTTTGCTTGAGTAAACGTTTTTTAAACGCAAAGGCACGGGAGGCGGGTTATGGGTTTCGTGTAACTTTCATCGCAGATAAACGAGCCGAAAGAGTGCTTCCATTCGACATGCGGTCGAGCGTTTCGGGAGGTGGAGAGGATGAAGCAAGAGAGAAGTGTCTTGGGAACGGACATGAGCAACACCACCTAGATGTGTTGGAAGGAGCCGGCAGCTGCTGCGGATAAGGGAGAGAGTGGCGTCAACGCGCAGCTCCGATTTGACCTACTTGATGTCGTTCCAACAACTGCGATGGGGGGAACGTGGTGCGGCATGTTGGCACGGAGCCACAGATGGACAGAGTTACGCAGGATATTAAAAAAAGCTGCGTCGCATCTAAAATGTCCTTGCACCAAGACACCGTCGCTGGTCGACGCTGCTGCACTGCCCGGCTCGACGACTTCATGTCATTACCGTTCCCGCAACAGCAACTTGGCCGTCGGCGCGAGGAACCCACACTCACGCCGACTCGTCTTCAGGTTGCGACCAGCACTCACGAAGGGGTCGAACTGCAGGCAGTTGCACAGGTCCCAGATATGTCCATCACCCGATGTCGCGACCGCATTCCTGGCCAACTGCGAAGACGATGCGCAAACGACAGCCAGCCGCCAGTTACGTCACTCCTGCTGCGTACACTCCAAACACACGAAAGAACAATGCAGAAGGGTAGGGGGATGGAAGCTCACGTGGTATGACGGTCATTATTGTTAGAAAATACATCGGTGGTGGCCGAGACGCCCAGCTCAAATAAAACACAAAAGCAGTTTTTTCACATGTTGCCTTAGAATACGACAACGATGTGCATGCGCGACTGCACTGGCGCAATCGTACGAGCGCGAGCGTTGTGTCTAACGTTGACCAGGAGTGATTGCAATGCATGAACGACGCTTCTGCACTTATTCACGTTCCCTGTATTAATAAATTAAAACTTCCACAGCCACAAGCAGCTGTACAGACGTAACAGTTGGCGACGAGGAAGACTGGACTCATTGGCACTACAACGACGTCAAGGAAATGACATGACGACGCCTGACTTAGGCCGGCCACCTAAATTCAGCGACAGCTCCGGCTCCCACAGATCTTGGTATGGGAGGCCATAGTTGTTCTTCGAGGCAAACGACATTACAGACGCACTGAATAAACGGTCTCATCTGCCAACGCTGTGCGGGGAACAGATGTTATGACATTGTCTACCCACTCAATCGAACCAAGCAGCCCCACCAAGTGAGCTACAACAACACAGTCAAGATGCTAAGGCTCACTTTTATCCACGACCATCTGACGTCTTCTGTAGGGCAAAATTCCAGCGACATGTTCAAGGAGCGAAACTGAAGTTGCTAAAAGCACGGCCGGTTCCTTTCGCGCTGCAGTCAGCTGTAGAAGCTGAATTGGATCGACTGCAAAGTTAATATATAATCGTGCCAGCACAGCACTCGGATTGGGTAGCGCCTCTCGTACTGGTTCGGAATAAAAATGGCTCGTTGCGAATATGCAGCGACTACCGTAGCACAGTGAACCTGGTATCAAAGAAGGCAGACTACCCACTTCCCACAACCGATGCAGTGCTCAGCCACTTGAGGGGAGGCAATGTTTTCAGCACCCTGGATTTGGCACAAGCATACCAGCAACTTCACGTGATGATAGAGACAGTAAAGGAATTGAACCTGAACACGCTGAAAGGACTATACAAGGTCAACAGATTTCCTTTTGGAATTCCTGCAGCCCCAGCCATTTTTCAACGCTTTATGGAGACTATTGTGCCCGGCATCACAGGCATGTGCGCATACCTAGAAGACATGATCATCAGTGGGAAACATGCCATGAAACACACCGAAAGACACAAAGAGGTGCTGAAGAGGCTATGGAAGTAGAACCTTGGCCTCGGAAAAAACAAGCGCTGCTTTGAGGTGCGACAAGTTTCTTTACTGGGACACTGAATCGATGAGACAGGCGCCCACACTAACGAAGAGTAAGTTCGAGCCATAACCGACGCTCCAGCCCCAAACTGATATTTACTTCGCACAACACCACACCATCACAAATTTTCACCAACATGCATCAAATACTGCAATCAACTGTTCATATGTCCACAAGTTCCTTATCTCACACTACACGGATACACTCACAAGAACTGCACCCTGTACATAACACTCAATATTATTAAAATCTGTACAATATTCAATAACTGTCCGAGATCTTTTTTTTCTGCAAAAGCATTACTCCACTGCACACAACTAGCTTAAGTCGGTGCTTCTTCACATTCCGCGTCTTTTTGAGCTTTTCCTGCGCCTACTCGCTGCCCGTCGCCTCGAACGCTCGCTAGAGCTGATCTCACTGTTTCTGTTTATTCTACGCCTTTTCAAACCAACTTTCCCAGGTCGCCCCCTATTATCACCTTCTCTGCTTTGAGATCTCTGAATGAATGAATGAACAACTTTATTTATCCCTTGTTAAAGGGAAGGGGGCAACAGGAAAGGGTGTGGTGGGGATGAACTACTTGAAGTAGTCCTCCTCTACCCTCTCAGCCCACTCCAGGATGGCCTCCTGGATAGCGGGCCTCGAGCTGCGCAAGGCAGCCTCCCACTGCTCCTCACTAGAAATTAGGCGTTTCAGGAATGGGGGAAGAGGGTGCTTAGGGCAGCGCCACATGATGTGGTTCAAGTCTGCTGTGGAGGAGGCACAAAATTTACATGAGGGGGAAGGATAACAGGATGGATGAATGCGGTGTAGGAGGTAAGGCGAAAGAAAGGTGCGAGTCTGCAGCTGTCGCCACAGAATTTCGCACCTGCGTGAAGATTTGCGCGTGAGTGGCGGGAAGGTTAATCGCTCTAAACGGTAGTGTGTGCAAATATCGTGGAATGAAATAAGGCGATCCCGCGCTGTAAATGGCGCCTCATTCGTAGCGAATTGCGACACATCGGATGCGTGTGCCCGGACTGTGAATCCTCGGGCACTCGCATGAGCCGCCTCGTTTCCGGCAAGGCCCGCATGCGCGGGAGTCCAGATTAGTGCTACAAGTCGATCAAGGGGATGATGCAAAAGTAGGGAAAGGGCTGGCTTAGAAACCCTGCCCGCTCCGAAATTATATATAGCTGTTTTGGAGTCACTGATTATAACGGATGAACTAGGTATTGTCAGGGCCAGGGCTATGGCCGCCTCTTCCGCTTCCTCCGAAGAAGAAGCAAGAACGGAGGCGGCCGCAGCGACCTGGCCGTGAGAGTTGATTACCGATATTGCATAATGATGCCTGTTTCCGTAATCGGCGGCGTCAACATAGAGCACATCATTGGAGGAGGAGAATTGTTTTTTGAGGGCCCTCGCGCGCTGCATCCTGCGCTGTTTCTGGTGCTCAGGGTGCATGTTTTTTGGAAGTGGTGGAATGTATAGGTTCTCGTGTATGTGGTGTGGAATGGTGTACTTGACCTTAGTGATGGATGCCGGAGTGACAGAAAGGGTTTGTAGAATGTGTCGGCCTGTCACGGTGTTAGAAAGTCTGTTATACTGAGATGCAATATGGGCTTCTCCTAGTTCAGCAAGGGTGTTGAAGGTGCCAGTACGCATAAGCCTTTCAGTGGAGGTCCGTATAGGCACCCCTAAAGCGAACTTATACGCTTTGCGTAAAAGGATGTCTATCTGGTCGGATTCTGATTTAAGAAAGTGTAGGTAAGGCGTTGTAAAAGTTATTTTACTGATAACGAAGGCTTGGACCAAGCGGAGGAGTTCGGCCTCCTTTAGTCCGCCATGTTTATTACTGACCCGACCCAAAAGTCGCAAGGTATGATCAACGGTGGTGTGAAGTGTCTTTAGTGTGTATGTGTTGAGCCGATTGCTTTGAATGTGTAAACCGAGCACGCGGATCCTATCCACTCGAGTAACTGGTACGTCATCTAGAATTACCTGTATATTGGATATGTGTTTTTCGCCCCCTCTGTGAGATGGTAGGAGAAGTAGCTGAGATTTCTGTGGGGAACATGAAAGATTCATAGACCCTGTAAGTGCCACAACCGTATTTGCCGCAGCTTGCAGGGTGTCTTGAATCTCTCCATCGGAGCCGCCAGTCATCCAAAGAGTGATGTCGTCGGCGTAGAGTGAAAACTTGAGGTCAGGGATAGATCTCAATGCTTGCGCCAACGGCATCATAGAGACATTAAAAAGAAACGGTGACAGCACAGACCCTTGGGGCGTGCCGTAACTTCCCAAAGCGTAAGACTGAGATTGATCTGCGCCTATGTGTATGGTTGCGGTACGGTTGGCTAAAAAAGTAGCTATATAGTTATATGTCTTTGCGCCAACCCCTATGAGATTAAGCTCGCGGAGGATGGCGGAATGAGCAACGTTGTTGAAAGCTCCATGGATGTCCAGACTCAAGATTGCTTGCGTATCTAGGCTGCTATTGGGTGTAATGATATCATGCTTCAGTCGAAGCATGACATCTTGACATGACAGAGATTTTCGAAAACCCACCATTTCTGGTGGATAAACATTGTTGTCTTCCATGTATTTATTCAGACGGTTGAGTATAACGTGTTCAAGCGTTTTACCAAGACAAGAAGTTAGTGAAATAGGCCTGAGATTGGAAGTGTTCACTGGTTTGTTTTGCTTTGGAATGAAAATTACCCTGGCATCCTTCCAGGAACTTGGAAGGGTGCCAGTGTCAAAGCAGTGATTGAAATAATCTGTGATTGCCGTGACGGAGTTGTCGTCCAGATTGCGAAGTACTTTGTTGTTAATGTGGTCTGGGCCTGGTGCTGACGTTGTGCGCAGAGTGGCCATAGCATGCCGAACCTCTGCTTCCGTGATAGCGGCGCTCAATAACTCGTTGGGCTTTCCAGTGTACTTTGGTGTGTTATACTTCTGAGCAGGAGGCAGATGTTTATCGCGGAGGTCGTCGAAGAGTCCGTTTAGATCGTTTTTGTGAGCATATACAAGTTTCTTTATGCTCTGGTTTTGATGTGTGCGTGATGTGGTAGGGTCTAAGAGGTGGCGCAGTAGTTGCCATGTGCGTTTGCTGTCAAGGTTTCCTTGCATGCTGTCACACACCTGGCCCCATTGCTGGCAGGCCAGTTGTGTGGCGTACTCCTGGATCTGCAGGTCAAGCTTGGCTATTCGGAGTTTTAGCTTTCGGTTGTGCCGTCCTTTTTTCCATCTCTTCAAGAGAGACTGTTTGGCTTCCCACATATGTAAAAGCTTGGCATCAACCGTGGTGAGGGGGGTTTCGGGGGGCAAAGTTGTAGTATGCACCCCAGCATCTGAGTGAAGTTGCTTCACCCATTCTGAGATGTCTTGGATGTTTCTGGGAGCTGATATCTGGCGGGCCTCTCGAAATTTGTCCCAATTGGTGTGACTGATTGGCTTAGGTGCGAAGGGTTTGTGCTTGAAATGTACTGTAGTAGTAATGATGTAGTGATCACTACCGAGATTAACTTGCAAGTTGCTCCATGTAACGTGCTGAATTCTGCGTGTAAGGGTAAGATCGGGAGAGGTATCTCTCGATACGCTGTTTCCTAGCCTGGTTGGTGCATCGACGTCATTATGTAGCGTGAGTCTGTGGTCTTGTATGTGTATCCACAGGGCT